ACCATCAGATTCTCTTTTACTTCTTTTGGGGGTGGGTTTTGGGTGCTATTGATGAGCCTGTGTGGGACGTTGCAAATCTAAGTTAAGCAAGCACACTCAACAATATTAAGGCTAGGATAATAACCCAAAGGCCCTGCAGTTTAGTCATTTCCTAGCCCGTGCTCTGCTGGTTGGGTCATTCTTGGGCCTCCTCCTCTGTCAATGGATCTGATGCCTCCTCGGCTACTTCACAGCAAAGACAGTTTTTTGTACTTGAAGGTTAATTGTATCTGTAAAATTTTGTGCTTATAACTAATAATACTAAACATTTATGATTTCTTCTTTAAGAAGTATTTTGTTAACATTAATTAAAGTGTACGTGTTATATTATCTAATCAGATGTGGAAGAAAGTAAGTCTCATCGAAAATGTATTGAAATGATAAATAATGTGGGCTGATTAATATCAAAGAGAGTAAGGGTTTTCATTAAGTTATAATGCGTATGTCAAGTTTAGCAGAAAAGGGGCTTCGTTTTGTGTGAAAAAGTGGTGTTAAGATGCTTCTAAGCATTGTGATAGTCGAAGAGAGCAGTGTAAGTATTATCAAAAAAGTGATATATTTAATTATCAGAGCATAATATAAGATGCGAGAGTTCTCATTAAATTATGATGTGTATGCTTAGCTAAGCATACGGAGAGTGAGGTTTCGTGAGGGGATAAAGGAGATCAATACAGCGAAGTTTCTTTTATCTTATACGGCAGCTATCGTGTAAGAAAAAAAGCAGGGTGTGAACTGCCCCACAAAAAAACAGTATAATACTTATGATGTTTACAATAAAAAAAAAACATTATTTTTTTAAGGTTGATTACTTCTTTTTTTTATATTATTTTATTTCTATTAAATTTGAATAAGTATTTAGTATTAGCAAAGGACGTGTGACTAACAATGTATAAGAATGTCTTCAAAGAGTGGTGTAATTAACAGAGGGGGGGGGGAATAAGGGTCACACCAAAAAAGTATCAGATTGAAAATCAAAGAAATAAAGCTAAGTTTGCCTTATTTTGGATGGTGGCTATCGTGGAGTGGGGGGGGGGGTAATTTGCCTCACCAAAAGAACAATACAATACACTTAATGTTAAATAATCAAATACATTGTTTGTTTTAAAATACTGTCTTATTCCTAATAAATTTTAATAACTGTTTTGTTTTAGCTAAGCGGATACAGGACAAAGAAGGTCTCACTAATAGTGTATAAGGTAAAAATATCATAGAATAATATAGAGAGATATGTAAAAAAGAGTGTAAAAATATCCATTACATTCTCATGTGTGTGCATATATTAGCAGATGTAGGGCAAGGTTTCATATAGAGGGGGGGGGGGAATTTAAATAATTCTAAGAATCGTGTGGAGGAGGGGGGACGAAAGTGAGGGTCACACCAAAAAATTATCGAATTAGGATATTAGAGGAATAACAGGAAGTTTTCCTTATATTATACGGCAGCTATCGTGTAGGCAGGTGAAGTGCAATCTGCCCTCCCAAAAGAGCAATGGTTTACGTATAACATTTGATATTAAAAAACATTGTTTTATTTCAAATACTTTTTTCATTTTTTACATACTTGAATAAGTGAATTGTATCAGCTTAGTAGATTTAGGGCAAAGGGGGTCTCACCAAAAATGCATAAAGTAAAAATATTAGAGAATAATATAGAGAGATAAGTAAAATAAGAAGTAAGAGTTTCCATGAAATTCTAAAGTGTGTGAATAGCTAAGCAGATATAGGGCAAGGATTTGGGTGGCAAAGTTGTTTAGATGCCTCTTAAGATCGTATGGGGGGCTGTGTGGGTCACACTTAAAAAGGATGAGGTTTAATTATTATAAAAATAAAGTAAATTTTCCACTACTTTGTAATACTACTGTTGTGTAAAGAAAAGGGAAGCCATATAAACATTATTCAGAAAAAATTTAGTATAAGTTAACTTTTATCATCATATAATGGACCCAAAAACATATATTTTGGGCAGGAAAAGAAAAGAGTTACTAGTCATTGCTATGTGGTGACGAAGGTCACTAGTGGAAAGGTACCTTGATAAGATGATAATCATGCTAGCCCATGATACATGAGTACTTACCTGATTTTGGTACATCGTTAATACAATAATCTTAATTTATTTCCAATAATCATACGATCAACGTTCATACAATTATGTTGACTCGTTTGGTGCTTAAAACATAAATATTAACTCTTTCAACCAAAAAATACATGATTTAACAAATTTTCATTAGTTCAATTCCTATTTATAATAAATAACACACAGGCAGTAAGAATTAAGAATAATAAAATTAATAAAAACGGACTTATGTTTCATAAGTTAATTATTTATGATATTTATAAGAAATTATGTATAATGCATGAAGTTCCTAGAGATGTGTGCAGGTATCCAGCGCCTTGTGGTGGAAGACGTGATACTTGTCGTGATGCAAGACTAGTACTGCTCGGAGGGTCCTCATGAGGTCTCTCAGCTGGTTGAGAAACTTGTGTGGCTCTGTCTGGGCGCTGTTGGAAACGAAGAACACCCCAGACAAGCGTAGCGTGGTGTAAAACACTGTCTCTGCTGGTGATGCTTGGAGGTCTTACTTGATACAACCTCGCAGCCCTAGAAGCGTTATTGAGAGGCGTTCTGGCCAAGGAGTGCTAGAATTGCACATGAGAGCTGCCTTAAAGGTGCGATGGAACCTTTTAACCAGGCCGTTGATTTTCGGATGGTAGGGCGTCGTATGGACGAGTTTGGCTCCTATCATGCGAGCTGAGGCAGCGAAGAGTGATGACTCAAATTTTTTGCCCTGATCCGTGGTTATGGTCAGAGGAAAACCAAAATTGGCAATTCATTGCTTTGTAAAGGCTGCCGCTATCGTTTAAGCTGTAATGTCGGCCAAAGGAACGTCCACCGGCCATCTGTTGAACCTGTCAACTATGGTGAGGCAATAGCGTAAGTTTCCTACCAGTAGTAGGGTGATAATATCCAGGTGGACGTGCTCGAACCTGTTGTCCAGGAGGTCGAAGAATTGTAAATCAGCTCGATTGTGTCTGCTGACCTTTGAGCGTTGGCAGCCTTGGCAAGCGCGGCCCCACCGGTTGATGTCCTTTTTAATGCCAGGCCAGAAAAATTTTGACGTCATCAGCTTGACCATTGCACGAGCACTTGGGTGAGTGAGTGAGTGTAAGGCATCAAAAGCATGGTTGCTGGCAGAAAGGGCCTGATCGTTCCGCCCTTGACGTTGCAGGCCAGTTTATGCTGCAATTAGCTCCTTATCGTAAGTGCAGTAATTGGTCTTAGCTTGCGTGAGCTTTCTTAAGTAAAAAGATACCAGACGCTATTCAGAGTCAATGTGCTGTTCGATGACTGCTCTAATAGTCGAGTCTGAGGCGTCAGTGGATAGAGCCAGTGGTGAATGTGGAGACAAATAAAAGGAGAAAGATGCATCTCGCAGAGCTTTCTTGCAGTTTTCGAATGCTTGATCAGACTCCTTGCTCCAACACAATTTCTCCTTTTTGCTCTTTAGGGCTCTGACCAGCATGTCGTTGAGTGGAGCTTATAGGATAGCTGCGTTGGATATGCAGTGGCGATAATAATTCGTCGTATCTAGAAACCTGTGAAGCTCTTTGATAGTGGTTCGCTTGGGGAAATTGTCAATGGCGTCCACCTTGTGCTTTGGTGCCTTGAAGCCCTCGGGTATCCGCAAGAAACCTAGGAAGTAAACTTGTGTTTTTCCCAGATTGCACTTCTCCAATTTTACGTTGAGTTTTGCAGCTCGCAGAATGTCAAAGAGCTCTCTTAAGTGAGGTAAGTGCTCTTCATGACTCTTGGATTCGATGATAATATTATCTACGTAGGCATGAGAAAAAGTGAGATCTCGCAGCAGCGAGTCCATGAAACGTTGAAAGGTTTGAGTGGCATTTCTGAGGCCCATGGACATGTTAAAAAACATGCTCAAAAATTCATATAACCCGATGGGCGTTGCCACTGCTATTTTGCAGATATCTTTCTCTGCCATGGGCACTTGATAGAAGGCCTTCTCCAGATCAACCGTGGAAAAGATCTTGGCACCGTGGCACCGGTGCATTAGATCTTCTATGAGTTGCAGGGGATAGCGATCTGGCTCTGTGCTCGCATTCAGACTGCGGTAGTCGCCTGGGGCTCGAAACGCTCCTCCTAGCCGGGGCATGAGATGAAGCGGGCTGGACCATTAACTATAAGAGTGGAGCACGACCTCTCAGTCCAGCAGATCATTGAGCATGCGATTGGCCGCGCTCAGATGCTCACCGTGCAGACTTCGTGAGAGATCGTAGACTGAAGGTCCTGTTGTGTGTATACTATGAGTTATGCTATACTTGGATAGCGTAACACGCTGTAAGCTAGGCTTGGTAATGTCTGAAAAATCCGACAGCAACCGATCATACTGTCCCCTGAGGTTCAGGCCATCCTCGTCGTGGCTGCCAAGGAGCGACAATGACTAGACTTGTGCTGTGCAGACTGGGGTCGGGATGCTGAGAGAAGTGGCAGAGACCAGTTGAGCGTGACCATCTGGCATCCGTAGGTTGCTATGGGTGACATATCAGCAGCTAACAGTTTTAGAGATTGAACAAAGAGCTTTTGATGCATGGCTGTGCGTAGTAAAAGAGAGACGACAGATCCTGAGTCTACGAGGAAACTTAGGCCAGAGTTTCCGTCAAAGACATGTAGGCGGTTCTCTTGGGGAAAACAACTGCCATGGGCCACTTGTACTGACGGCAGCTTGACTTGTTTCCCTGGCCGGAAGAGATTTCCAGACACAAGGCTGCTCGCACTTTCTTGCGTCCATGCCAAAGTGTTGGTGGTAGAAGGAGTAGCCATTATGTGAGGGAGTGGGCGAGCAAGACCTATTGCCACGACTGTTGCTGCGATTCCGTTGTTGTCCCGAGCGTTGGCCTCTTTTGGATGTAGCTGATAGCTTTTGTACCGGAAGTTGTCACCGGAAGTTAAGTCATGGTGGCAAGCAAGGCAGCTATCTCCGCAGCCTGAGCTGAAAAGGCAGCCTTAAGACCCAGTGATGATGAAGCACGATGTGGTAAGGGAGACCGTTGATGTCCGTGTGGTCGTATGGTATTTACTGATGCAGGCCTGTCTGCCATGTGATCCCCGGCCTCTACCAGCTTGTCTAGTGTGGTGTTACGAAGGATGCGCAGTATCTTTTGTGCAGGCACTGGCAGGATGTCTAGCCACTTGACCTTGAGCACTTCATCGTTGACCTTCGTCCCTGCGAGGAAGTGCATGTGACGCAACAGCTGCGACGGAGCGCGATTGTCAACGTGCAGCTAAGTGAAAAGCGTTCAAAGGCGCTTCTCCTTGGTATCGGTAAAACGCGCGAGCACATGCCTTTTTAAGTACTCGTACTTTTCTGTGCTTGGCACTGCGCAACAAAAGTCTAGAAGCTTTAGCGCGATCTCGCAGTCTAGAGCTGCCACGTCCAGGTTAAAGCGCGTAGAGTCTGAACGCATCTGATTGTAGCTGAAAGCTGATTCGGTTTGAAAAAACCATGTTTTCGGTGATGCTCTCCAGAAAGGTGGCAGCTTGCTGTTATGCATCGTCTCGACTGCTGCATGAGGATTCACGTCACCGTTGTTGTTGTTGTGGTTGTCTCCGTTGTTATTGCCTCCGTTGTTGTTGCCACCGTTGTCGCCTTCACCTTCGGACTAGTTGTTGTTGCCATCGATTCCGACCATGTTTTTACTGCTGCGTTGTAAGGGACTAGTTGTCCGTGCAAGGTTCAAAAGAAGAAAAAAGAAGATCGCTTTGGCGAGGCAAAGAAACGGGAGAGCATGCGCAACATGGCCTGTCACTTTCACCATGCCATGTGGCCTTGCACTAATCTGTCTAGATCACGTCGGGATCACCACTTTGGAGTCTAGGGTGAAGGTACACAAGGAGATACACGCTGAATACAAGGTATGCACATAATTATTATTGATACATATAACTTTTGCTTAGTTAAATCACAGATTAATTGTCAGATCACTGCGAGAGTAAGTGATGCGTGCACAACGTACGTAGTTAGGCGTGAATTTGCTGGTCATCAGGTTAGGCTGGATCTACACGAGCCAGTTGCGCAGCTCTAATTCCTGCTTGTGGCAGTGCTGCCGAGTGATTCAAAAATATTATGAGAAATATGTAATAAAATTGGATTAAATTTTTGTATAGAAATGATAAATGTAATTTTGTACCACTTAGTTACGTAAGATTGTCTGATATTTCCTTTGAATGATAACACATTTGTATAGCTACCATTTAGTGTTTTAGTGTATCGCTACGAGTTGACCATCGCATTTTTGAGAAAGAGTTGAAACATTTCGCTTTTTTTCTTAATTGACTAGTAATTCAGGCTTTCTGTGTGTTTAGCATAAGAAAATTCATATAATTTCTGAACTACACTTAAAAGCTTATAACTCTTACGTTCGATTGCATAGCATTGACGCCAACGAAAATGGTACGTAGTTATCGTATTTGTTTATGTCTTTGATTCTTGCCTAAGAGCCTGTGTAGTATCCTGACATATTTGACACATTATCGTACGACTAACTGCGACAGTTACTAATGCATACATATATATATATATA